GAGGAACGCCTTCTAAAAGCCTGCAGGACATCTCCTTTTTCCTCTTCCCCCCTTCCCCCCCTTCTCCCCCATCTCCCGAATACGAAAGCCGTCGTCGATCGACCGATCGACGACCGATGACGACGAATTACGACGACCTGGATCTACGTTGCAATGATTTCGTAACTTCGTGGGCCCCCCTGAAGTCCAACCCCTTACCCGGGAGCGGCTTTCCATCCCGAATCGTTTCTTGACAATCCTGTGACCCCACCGCAAACTAAACAACTACCACAAGCCTGCAGTCGCTCTTTGTCTACGACAAGAGAACAGGTCTAGGAACGACGGCTGCGGCCGCAAGAGCACCCGGGCCCGCTTGCCTGTGGACCCGCCTCTCGCGAGAATCTCCCCGTCCAGCGACGCCAACTCCTCCCTGATGGCGTCGTCTCGCGGGGGTGGGTGGGCCAGAACACGAGCGCCCCGCTTCCCTCCTTCTCGTCCCACGCCTCCATCCTTTTCCCGAGAAGCAGCTCCTCTTCGTTCTTGAGATTTGCCACACTTTCAAAGATGGATGGGGTGGTGGTTTTCAAAATGTGGCTTTTGCCTGTGCGCCTCGCATCTTTGTCTCAAGCGTTTGAGTAGTTACAAGGATTGAGGGAGTGTCGTTTTCAAAATGGAGCTCTCGCCAGGGGAGCGGATATTAGTCATAAAACTCTGTGGCCATTTCAAGGATGGAGGTGGTGTCGTTTTCAGAATGTGTCTCTTGCCTCCGTGCCGCGCGCGTTCGTCCAGAGAGTGTGCAACAATTTCAAGGGTGGAAGGGTGTGTGTTTCCAATGTGCCTCTCACCGTAGCGCCGCGCACAATGCCCTTAAAAGTTTGCAGCAATTTCAAACATGGATGGGGACCAACATTGGGCTCTCGCCTTAGCGCCGCGCGTATTGGTCCTAATGTTTTTGGGCACAAGGATTTACAATTTGAAGATGTTTATGGAGATTTCGCTAGATTTGGCATCTTGGTTTGGCAACGTGTGCCGCGTCCGTCACCCAGCGACCTGAGAAGGGCGCTTGCCAAACAAAGAACCCAAACCCTGACAACATGCAACATATACACATGTACTAAAGCGATTCCTTTTCGAACTTGGGCGTTCGCATGAGACTTCTGGGAGGACTTAACTACCAGACACTTGACCTTCGCTTGACGCTTTGTCGAACATTGAATCTAATAACTTGGCACTCAGCCACAGCTGCGCAGGCAAACTACCTACTAGAAACTTGAACCAGGGCTCGGACAAAACAGTGTTGTTCGTTTTCGTTTTGTTTTCGTGTTCCCTTGGTCTGCCTTTGCTGCGCAACGAAATCAAAACCAACACGGCCCACGAACTCGTCAACGCACCGTTTAGCTCGAGCCCTGACTTGAACAGATGGTGCAGGTGCACGGGTGGAGTGCGGCTCTTTTTCAACAAGTGGTACTGTCGCTTGTGAACTCCTCGGCGCTCAATGCCAGCAGTCACACGTTCTGCAGGAGTCGCACAGAATTGGGAATTGGGGGCGGCCTTGGCTCAAAACTGGGGCCTCGCTCGACACCTCGTGGAACTGTATGCCCATACCTTCGCGCATTCCTTATTAGCCGCTGGGGAGGGGGGGGGGCAAACGCTTCATGTTCAAGGTGGGGGTTGTCGCCTTAGCGCCACGCGCATCTCTCTTAAAGCTTGCAGCACAGTCAATGGCGAAACGCGGTTCCTTTTCAGAATGAGGCTCTCGCCCTAGCGCCGCGCGCATTCTTCTTAACAGCTTGGAACACTTACAGGGGTTGCCCCTTTACATCGATTATTTGGACTTCGCTCGAAAGTCGTTGCAACCCAGGAAAATGGGAACTTGGCACTGTGCAGCAATTTTGCTGGTAACGAAGGAGATTTCTTATCAAAATTGGGCGTTCGCTTGAGACGCCCATGAAGACTTAATTACCAGACGCTTGAGCATACGGTACAGCTGCCCGTGGATGAGGCGGCAAAAGCTTCAGACAATGAGTCGTGTCGTGATCATACACCTCGGGCGCTCAAAACAAAAAGAGAAAAAAAAAAAAAAAAAAAAAAAGAAAAAAAAAAAAAAAAAAAAAAAAAAAAAAAAAAAAAAAAAAAAAAAAAAAAAAAAAAAAAAAAAAAAAAAAAAAAACTAAAGATAAAAAAAAAAAAAAAAAAAAAAAAAAAAAAAAAAAAAAAAAAAAAAAAAGACAAAAACTAAAAAAAAAAAAAAAAAAAAAAAAAAAAAAAAGAAAAAACATACAAAAATAAAGAAAAAAAAAAAAATAAAAAATATAAAAAATCAAAAAAAAAAAAAAACAAAAAAAAAAAAAAAGAAAAAATAAAAAAAAAAGAAAAAGAAAAGCCATGCAAACGTGAACGGGATGGGGGCGACTCTCTTTTGAAACAAGGGATCTCGCTGGACACCCTATTGCATTGTATGGTCGTGCCTTCGCGCGCTCCTTATTACCTGCGGGGGGAATACAAACGGCTCCTTTTAAATATGTGGATTCTCGCCTTATCGCCGAGCGCATCCATCTTATGCAACCATGAACATTTACAAGGATCGTGTGCGGTTCTGTTTCAAAATTGGGCATTCGCATAATCCCTCCATGTGGGCTTACCTGTCATAAGCTTGAACATACGGTACAGCTGCCCGTGGATGGAGGGCGGTTCCTTTTCAAAACATGGGACTGTCGTTTGAGACTTCCTCGGCGCCCATTGCCAGACGTGGAAGCCATGCAAAAATCATACAGACGGGGGCGACCCTTTTTCCAAAGGGGGATCTCGCTCGACACCTCGTTGAACTGTATGATCATGCCCTCGCGCGTTCCTTACTACCTGATGGGGGGATGCAAGCGGCTCCTTTTCAAGCTTTGGGCTCTCGCCTTAGCGCCGCGCGCTCTCGTCTTAAAAACTCTGACCACTTATAAAGATCCGGTGCGGCGCTTTCTCGAACTCTGGCTCTCGCGTGAAGCTGCTGCAGCCTGTAAGACCGGGCAACGACTGCGCAGATGCAGCAGCTGCACTGGTGCAAAAGGGCGATGCCTTCCCGGCTTGGGCGTGGTCGCTCGAGGCGTCTGCGAGCTGCAACCCCACGCCCGAGCACGTGGTACAGCTGCACGGACGGAGGGCCACTCCTTCGCCACACGGGGCCGTCGCCCAAGGCTTCCTCGGCGCCCGTGGCCAGACGCAAAAAGCCGTGCAAGAATCCCACCGGTGGGGGCGGCCCTTTAAAAAAAACGGGGATTTCGCCCGGCACCTCGTCGATTCGCATGATCGGGTCTTCGCGCGTTCCTTCGGACTAGCTGGAAATATGCAAGGCCAATAATTCCTTTTCTCATGGGGGAGGGGGGTTGCTCGCCTGAATCGTAGGCCGGCAAGGTGCGGGTCTTTGAAGAGGTGCTTCTTGAAGTGGAAAGGAAGGCCAGTAGGGACTGATGGGGAGGGGACTTGGGACGGGAGGATGTATTGCAGCATCGTTGATGCATCTTGGGCTTACCTGGTGCTCCTCATCCTCAGCCTCCTCTTTCATTCCATTCCATTCCATTCCATTCCATTCCATTCCTCATTGTCCCTCCCCTTCCCCTCCTCATCCCCGCCCAACTCCTCCTCCTCCTCCTCCTCCTCCTCCTCCTCCTCCTTCTCCTCCTCCTCCTCCCCCTCCTGCTCGGTTTGTCGGTTTCTCGCCTGTGCCGCTCGCGCGCGCCCTGGCGGAGAACGCGCATGAAGGCCGCGCCTGGCAAGGGCACACGTCGGAGTCTTGCATCAACCTGCCGCTACCGAGCGCAAAAATCGCTTGGTGGGCTGATGGCGGCGATAAGCCGACACCAGGTGGTCACTACTCCAGCTCTGTACCACGGTGGCCCAACCACCAATTCCCAGCCTGCCCATTGCAAGAGGCCCCCCTCTGTCGCCGCGAGCTTGATCAGCAATGACGCTCTGATCTCATCGACCGCATGCGCGCAACCGAAGGCGAAGCCAAGGTCGTCGTTAAAGGGCCCCCCACCGTATCCCAGATGTCGTAGGAGCCCATGGCCACCACGGTGCCTCGTAGTTAGGTGGCCCTGTCCTCGGCTGCGTGCCTGGGCAGCTGTGCGACTGTACTTCCAACGACTACGCATGCGACCTCGTTGTGAGCATGCCAGAGCTGGCAATCGCTGGGAGGGGTGGGGAACAAAACTGTCAAGCAGGGCGTCGTCAGGAGCGCAGCACTGCTCGGCCAACACACCACACATCAGCCCAAGACACCCACGCACCCATGTGGAGGAGGAGCTGCAAGACCAGCAAGGAGGGACAGGGGAGAAGCAAACGCACACCACCAACGTATCCCTTTGGACACCGCGACCACCTCATGCCGAATGATCATGGGCGGCGATGTCCTCCACCGCCACCCTGAACAGCTGCGCGCCCGAACATCCAGTCGCGCGCAGGAGCGGGACCGCAGCCCTGGGCGTCCACGGCCGCAGCGCTGTCGCTGGACTCCCACGCCCCGCACCCCGCAGTGCCCAAACAGGCGTGCGTGGGCGAACTCGTCTTCCGCCGCGAACCTGGACGGCGGCGCGCATGCCACCTAATCGAACGCGGGCGCGGAGCCAAAGTCCTTGTCCTCGCCCACGTCCTCCCACTCACCATCCTTCTCCTCCTCGTTCTCGTCCCCCTTCTTCCTCCCCATCCTTTTCCTCCACGTCTCTCTCTCTCTCTCTTTCTCTTTCTCTCTCTCTCTCTCTCTCCCTCTCTCGTTCTCTCTCTCTCTCTCTTTTCCCCTTCTTCTCCTCCTTCTCCTACTCCTTCGCCTCCTTCTCCTCCTCCTCCTCCTTCTCCTCCTCCTCCTCCTCCTCATCCTCCTCCTCCTCCTCCTCCTCCTCCTCCTCCTCCTCCCCCCTCCCCCCCTTCTCCACCTCCCCCTCCTCCTCCCCCCTCCTTCTTCACCTCCTCCACCTCATTATCCCCCTTCTTCTCCCCCTCCTCCTCCTCCTCCTCCTCCTCCTCGTCCTCCTCCTCCTCCTCCTCCCCCTCCTCCTCCTCCTCCTCCCCCTCCCTTCTTCACCTTCGTTTCCTCCTCCTCGTCCTTCTCCCTCGCTCAGCTGCTCCCCCTTCTTCTCCCCCTCCTCCTCCTCCTCCTCCTCCTCCTCGTCCTCCTCCTCCTCCTCCTCCCCCTCCTCCTCCTCCTCCTCCCCCTCCCTTCTTCACCTTCGTTTCCTCCTCCTCGTCCTTCTCCCTCGCTCAGCTGCTCCGCATGCTCCCCCTTTGGACCCCTGCCTTCACAGCCTCCGCCTCCGCCCGCCCCATGTCCGGGGCGGGCGCCCCCTCCGCTCCGCCCCCAGGGGGCCTTCGCACTCAGCGCCTTCTCCGCCGTCGCCAAGAGGGCCTGGCCGAGGACGGGAAGCAACGTCGTCGTCGTCGTCGTCGTTGTCGTCGCCGTCGTCGTCGTCGTCGCCGTGGCCGTCGCTGCCCTCAATGCCGTCACCGCCGTCGCCATCGTCGCCGCTGCTGCTGCTGCCGAAGTGGGAGCCGCTGGGTACTGCAGATTCGTGACCCGCGTGGGCCCTGGCCTCCATCGTCACGTGAACCCCTCGACCTCGAACGATTCTCTGCTGTAGGGGGCCCCCGGGCGCAGCGCTGTCGCCGCGCCGGGATGCAACACATCTGCCGTAGTCCGCCTTGCCCTCTCCGCCTCCAGCCTTCCTCCATTCGGACCACTAACGATCACGCGCGCACACGCACACGCGCCTGTACGGCACCACCCACGCACGAGCACACTACAAAGATTCCTCCTCCTTTTTTCCCAACTCCGTCCTCCATATCTCACACATGTTAGACGTCTCGCGGCTCATATGCATGCTGTCCATGCAACAGAGTCTATGTCAGCGAGCGTGGACCCCAAACAATGATTTCTTGCAATGTATGAGGTGCAATCTAGGTGGTGCAATGAATGTGGTGCAGTCTAGATGGTGCAGTCCATGTGGTGCAACCTATATGGTGCAACGCACTGCTACGCAATGCAAAACAATGCATTGCACTGGTGAGCGATACAAAACAATACAACGCAAGGCACGGCAAATCAATGCAAACCACTGCGATGCAACGTGGTGCAACACGATGCAAAGCTCCGCAATGCAACGCACTGCAAGTCAACATACAACAACACAATGACATGCAACGCAATGCAACGCGATGCAAATCAATGCAACACAACGCAACGCAACAGCATGCAAGTCAATACAACGCGATGTAAAGCGATGCAGATCAAATCAACGCACAACATTGCAGAATAGTTCACATCAATACAACACAATGTACCGCAATGCGAAGTAATGCAACGCAATGCAAAACGAACGCAGTGCAAGTCGACGCACAGCAATGCAACGCCACGCAATGCAAATCACTGCAAATCAATGCAACGCAACGCGCAGCACCGCGTAATGCAAAGCAATGCAACGCAGTGCAAAGAAATACAACGAAATGCCAGTGAATGCAACACAATGTTATGCGATGCGAACTCATCCATGTACAGCAATGCTAAGCATCGCAACGAAATAAACCGCAATGCAACGCAATGCGAATCAAAGCAATGCAACACAATGCAACGCAATGCACAGCAACTCAACGCAATGCAAATCAATGTACTGCGATGCAACACAACGCAGAGCGATGCAAATCAATGATAAAAAATGCAAACCAACACACACACACACCACACACAGGCACACGCACAAACACAAGCACAACCACACACGCAAACGCAAGCAAACAACACAATCACACACACGCACGCACGCACACATACACACTTACGGACACACACACACAACACACACAGAGCACACACAGACAAACACACACAAACACAAACACGCACAAACACACACACAATCACAAGCACAACCACGAACGCACGTACGCACACACACGCACACAACACACGAATCACACACAAACACTTCCAACACAAACAACACACAACGCACACACAATGCACCCAACACACCTGACACGCATAACACATACTTCACACATAACCCAACCATGGCACACACACACACAACACACATCACACGTACACAGCACACCGCATAAAACACACACACACACACGCACACCTTACACACCACGCACGCACATCCTGCACATGTGCTTGTATGAGCCTGTGCACGCACGTGCCACTTGTACACATACATACATATATGTTCATATACAATATATGTATACAGACGTGTGTGTAGATATCGGAGTATATATGTATATATATATATACACAAGTGGCACGTGTGTGCCCAGGCTCATACAAAAAACTGAAGGGGCGTTTGAAGCAGGAGTGAAATGCAACATCGAAGTCGCACTCGAGCGCAAGTGGGGTTGCCACACCTTGCGATGTGTGTACCAGGACCCCCCAGGAAGCCTCAGGAGGCCCGACTTGGATACCAGAAGAGGCTCCAGGAGGCCCCAGGATTGTGAGTGTTGTGCGTGTGTGTGTGTGTGTGTGTGTGTGTGTGTGGTGTATGCTTTGTGTGGTGCGTGCTTTTTGTGTGTTGTAGGTGTTGTGTGTGTGTGTGTGTGTGTGTGTGTGTGTGTGTTATGTTTGTCTAGTGTGTGATGTGTTGGGCGTGATTTGTGTCTCTGTGTGCATGTAGTTCTGAAGCCCCAGGAGGCCCCAGGAAGCCCCAGGAGGCCCCAGGAGACCCCAGGAGGCTTCCCAGGAGGTTTCAGGAGACCCCCAGGAGGCTCCGAGGCGGGGTCTGGGGTGCCAGAAGGTTCAGAAAGCCCCAGGAGGCCCCAGGAGGTTCCAGGAGGCCCCCAGGAGGCTCCGAGGCGGGGTCTGGGGCTCGATTTTGGAAGGATTTTTCAAGCGAAACCGCCATTCCCTGAGAATCGGGGTCACAATTATTGAAATTACCATGTGTTTTTGAAGGTGTTATGTTAAAATGTTGAAATTCCCATGTGTTTTTGGACCCTGACGTCACGATCTGCGTGAGGGGTGCCACCGATTTTCAGAATTTCGAGGATGTCCCGAGCGAAACGCCCAGAAAAATCGCGGACGCGTGCGCATTAATCCCCTCGGAGAGGTGCGTATGAGAATATATATATATACACATACATACATATTTATATGTATAAAGAGAAAGAGGCCACAGCCTCCCCCGCCTAGTCCTAGATAGATAGGCTGGAGGATGCTCCACATTGGTGGCTCGCTCGCTCGTTCGCTCGCCTCCTCTGTTCGGACAAACCGCTCCCGCAGCCTTCAGCAGCAAGGCCAAGTGTGGTGGCCGGGACAACGGTGGGCAGAACAACCGGCGCAGGGAAAAGAACTCTGGCTGAACGCAGGCTGCATGAGGTTCGCGGGGAGGTCGCAGACGCGCCCCACAAAGCACGAGCAATGTCTAAGGAGGAAGTGGAGGGGCGCAGCGAAAACTGTCTTTGGTGTTTCTGCCCAAGTGCCATCGCAACCCCTTCCGATGCCACCACTGCTCGGCAGGCTTCCGCGATATTTTCAGGACGATGTAGCGTCAACTCTGCGTTGCTCCAGGCAGGCAACGTCCTTAAACTGTTGCGTATGGATCCACACGCAAGCTTTCCACAAACTCGCAAAGATACAAGCTGCTGCTCCCTTCTTTGGCTCCGCCAAGACCCGTGTGAGCCTGGCCCGCGGCAGCTAACGAACGCCTACTCGGTATCATGCTTCATATCGGATTGGCCATGGCGATCGACGGCGACGGCGACCATGAGGGGAGGAGACGCGGAGAGAAGGAAGAGGTGGATGATGGGCGCAATTAGTCCCTCTCGCCGAACATCCTGGGGCGGAAGGACCTCACATTCTCTGGCAAACCTCGACACATGACGCTAAGATATCACAGAAATGTGCAAGGGGTCGCTCTCGCTGCACGTCATGGAACGTAAGCTTCTTCTCGTGACCCGTGATGCCCGTCCACAAGCCTCACCACACAACCTCGAGACAATGACGCCAAGATATCACGGAAGTGTACAACGGGTCGCTCCCGCCGAGCGTCATGAAGCATAAGCTTCTTCTCTTGACCCGTGGTCTCCGTCCAGAGGCCTCACCACGCAGAGCGCCAAGCTCAACTCCTCCTCGAAGCTTCGCAGCATCTGCGCAGTATTGTGCTCGACACCGTTCACCTCAACGATCCTGTCCAGTCGCCGCACGGCAACCTCGGGGTGCTCCTCGTTCCATTCCGCCACTGGGCCTGACCGAATCTCCTCTACGACCAGAGAAAATCTCCCGCTGCGCGCAGCGCTCTTGAGAACTACCCCGAACCCCTCTGCCCTGGACGCCCTCTGGACGGTCACCCTGAAAGGAACGGGCCTCGAGATCCCGACTGTGGCGACCTCCCGGGCCTTCAGGGCCTGCAGCAACAGCTGCGAATCCCCTTCTACGCCGTTCGCGCTGACGATGAAGTCGCCAGGCTGCACTCGGCGCGAGGGTAGCTCCCTGGTGCTGTGGCGGCCCACGGCGCCGCCCGCCCGGATCTCGAGAATCTGCGCGGTCCTGCCGTCTAGGAGGTCCAACTCCAAGCCGAAGGGCTCGCCCTTGCGCCTGCTGACCGTGACCGTGAACTGCTCCCCGACCCTGACCACCTCGGGCGGTGGGACGTCGAAGGCTTCGGCCAGCGCTTGTCGCGTCTCCCCGCCGTCTGCCGCGCAGCACAAGCACCACGGGGAGGGGGGATTGCTCGGCTACGAGCCAGAGTGGCCCTAGGCAGGAATGACCCTTGGGGTGCGGCTCGAGGTGGCCACAGGGGGCGGTGGTGCAGACTGACGCGCGCAGGCCAATGCTGGGGGGGACCGCTGTGGGCCTGAGAAACAGCTTCGGGCTGCGCACCCGAAACCTCACCACGGTCACTCCAGCGCAAGGTCGCTCTTACGCGTGATCGAATTGCGCGGCGGCTCCTCGGCGTCGGAGCCGCCAAGGCCGGCCGTGCCCCCGACGGGCTCTGCCATCCCGTGCGGCGCGCGGCGCGGCCCACCAGCGAGCCGCGGCGGGGGCCTCAGTGGATCTTGGGCCAGGACGGTTACGGTCCCTGCAGGTCGATGTATGGGGAGCCAATGGGATTGCGTATGCTCTGGCTCCTGGTCTCCCGCGGACGCCTCTGCAACTGCCCTATTGAATGTTCACCAGGTGGTGGTCTTCTAGGTTGTAGCGTTTGTTTTTCTGCCTCGTGCTCTCGAATGCCATACGGGGTGGTAAGGCATGCGTAACGCCTTGCCCGCGAACGAGTTGTGACAACCCTGTAATCGTGGCCTGCAATGCCGCTTCACCGCAATCTGCCTCGCCGTCCTGTTTCCCGTAATGGTGAACAGTAGTGCGCTGAATTCCACAAGCTCTCTGGGCGTAGGTGACTCATAGATATTTCATATTTATTCGCTTGCCTCCCCAATTTTATACAACTTATTTTGGAAAAGGCCCATCCATTGGCCCTGCTGCATCCTCGCCCCCCTGAAAAACCGAGGAGAGGGATTCTATTGGAACGCCTCACAACCAGAATCCGTTGGAAAACGCAGCCAAGGGATTCTCTCGGACAGCCTCACAACAATGAATCGCTTAGAAAGCGTTACCGAGGGCTCCAGTTGGAAAACACCACCCCAAGAATCCTTCGGAAAGCCCACACAGAGGTATCCGATTGGAAACCTTCACAACAGGAGTGCGCTGGAAAGCAAGACTGAGGGTTACTATTGGAAGGCCTTGCAAAAGAGTCCTTCGGAACGCACCGCAAAATGATTCGAATGGAACGCATCACAATCGGAATCCTTCGTGGGGGGCTCACAAAGAGATTCCTCATGACAACACAACACAACAAAAAAACACATTGAAGGACAAACCGGCAAAAGCAAAGCCATCAACGGCACAACGCATACCACATCAAACATAACGAATGAACAAACATGCACATCACACAGGCAACTGTCTCACTATTTACTACACCTCTCCTCCTCCTCCTCCTCCTCCTCCTTCTCTTCCTCCATTCCTTTTCCTTATAAATCACTTCTCCCTGTCGCACCCCGAGGCCAGGTTTCAGGGCGGGCCAAGCGTTTCGCTTCAGACTCCTCACCGTTTATGACTCTGCAGCTTAATCAATGACAGCAGTCTCACGGATTGAGGGCGAGTGGTTTTCAAAATGTGGCTCTCGCCTTAGCGCCGCGCACACTCGTTCTAAACATGTGCAACAGTTACACGGATTGCGGGCGGTTCCTTCTCAAACTGTTGCTCTCGCCTTAACGCCGCGCGCACTCGTTCTAAACATTTGCAACAATTTCACGTATTGAGGGCGGGTGGTTTTCAAAATGTGGCTCTCGCCTTAGTGCCGCGCACACTCGTTCTAAACTGTTTCAAGAATTTCACGGGTTGAGGGCGGATCGTTTTCAAAATGTGACTCTCGCCTTAGCGCCGCGCACACTCGTTCCAAAAACTGGCAAGAGTTCCACGGATTGAGAGCGGCTCCTTTTTAAACTGTGGCTCTCGCCTTAGCGCCGCGCACACTCGTTTTAAACATTTGCAATACTTTCACGGGTTCCCATGACCAACGTACCAGAAGTGGTGTTTTGGAAGCGTTCAGGATTATGCGGGTGCAACAGTTATGTTGGTTCGCGGTGTTGAAGTCCCAAAAGTGGCGTTCTGGCACGAATCCAGATCGTCAGGACGCAGCAGTCAGGTTGATCCATGGCGTGGAAATCCCGAGACCAATGATTTGGCATGTCTCAAGGTCTTCAAACGGTGGTCTTCCAACGAGGCAGTTCCTCCAATGGAAATGAATCGTTGTGGGGGCCTGTGAAGAGGGAGCTTGGAGGGAGGGTTAATTCCAACATCGTTGATGACTCTTGGGTTTACACTGGTCCTCCTCCTCCTGCTCTTCCCCCTCTCCTTCTCCCTCCTCCTCCTCGCCCCCGACCCCTCACCTCTCACCCTTCACTCCTTCTCCTCCTCGTCCTCCTCGTCCTCCTCCCCCCTTTCGTCTCCCCTCCTTGCCCTGCTCTATAGGGGGTGCTTTTTCTGAAGCGGACAGCCTGGCCAGATGAGTCAGGGGAGTGATCTTGAACCCCCTGATTCAACATTTTTTGTGGGCCCCAAGCTTGGATTTGGACTTGCCCCAGCTAATGCTTCCATAAGGAGGAGGATGAGGAGGAGGAAGAGGAGGAAGACGAGGAGAAGATAAGGGGGGGACGAGGGACTGGAATGGAGACGGAGTGGAGCGGAGGAGTGGCCCTCCACTTGCTTCTGCTCCAGAGGAGGAGGGGGAGGAAGAGAAGTGAAGAGTGAAAGGCGGAGCGTGATGAGGTGAGGAGGAGGAGGAGGAGGAGGAGGAGGAGGAGGAGGAGGAGGAGGAGGAGGAGGAGAGAGAGGAGGAGGAGCAGAAGCAGGAGAAGGAGGAGGAGGAGGACCACTCCTCCATTCCTCAGGTGACGACCATTCATCCATCCCACTCCTCCTCCACTCCACTCCTCCATCGCGCTCCTCTTCCATTCCACTCCTGCTCCACTCCGCTCCCTCCTCCACTCCGTCCTTCTCCTCCTGCTCCTGCCCCCCTCCCCCCACGGAGCAAGGCAAGGGGCGGAGGAGGAAGGAGGGTGAGGAGGAGGAGGAGGAAGAGTGAAGGGTGAGGGGTGAGGGGTGGGGGGCGAGAAGAAGGATGAGGGGGAGGAGAGGTGGAGCGAGTAGTGAAATTTGTTTGTGTTTTTTGTGTGTGAGTGTGTGTGTGTTGTTGTCCTTAGGTGTTTGATTGTTTCGGCGATCTGCTTTTGTTTTGTTGTGTGTTCCTTGGGTTTTTTGATTGTCTAGTGCCTTCATGAGACGTCTCTTCGTGAGCCCCCCCGCAAAGGATTCCGATTGTGAGGCTTTCCAGTCGAGTTCCCTTTTTTCGTGCTTTCCGAAAGATTCTTTTTGTGAGGCTTTCCAACACGAGCCCCCGATCCGGTTTTCCGAAGGATTCCTTCTGTGAGGCTTTCCCATGGGATCATTTTGTTGCGATTTCCAAACGGATTCCTGGTTTTAGGCGTCCCATCAGGAACTGAAGTCGCGCTTTCCAGCGGATTTCTTTCGCGAGGCTTTTCAATCAAATCCCTTCGAAGCGCCTTCTAATGTGATTCCTTTTGCTGTATGTTGATGCTTTTTCTTTTTCCCGTCGCCAACCCCCGAGATGTATGACCTTGGGGGGGAGGCGACCATCTCTTCCAATCCCCCTCTTCCCCTTCGGGGAAAGCCATTTGCTTCCGAAGATTATACGTAACCGCTTCGGTGGCTCTGCAAACAGGCCAAGGTGAGCCCGGCAATGAGTCTTTGGGAACAAATATTGAGGTTGGGCCTCACTCCCTTTCCCCTTCTCCCTCCCCTATTCCACGCGTTTCCTGCGTCCCTCGCTCCTACTTCCCCTCCCATCTCTTCCTCATGTAGAGATACGCCTCGCTGTCCTAAGGTTCTGAGAAGTGATGGTGAAGCGGCGAAGTGATCACAGGATGAGTAACCATCGCCACTGTGCTCTGGCCACCGTGCAGGTCAGGGGGGGCTTGGGGACAACGCAAGCACGACCTCCTCCTCCCCCTCCAGAGTTTCGAACGCCTCCAACACACGCGCTTTCTGGCCCATTCTTTCGGGGCGCGCAAAGAGCAATTATCTTCTCGAGCAGCTGACGGAATCGAAACACCCGCGCAACTCCGAGTGCCCGTGCCGTAACTCGGGCCTCAGGCGGCCGCTGGAAACGATTCGGGCACCCCTGAAACGCCCTCGACGAGGCGCAGCTGATGGAAACCGCCCTGGGCCCCGAAACAATTCCAACCCCCTCGAACATCCTCCTCCCCGCCTCCCCTCCCCCCCTCCCTCCTCGTCCCCCGCACCCAGTCGCTGGCAGCCCTTCGATCCTCGAAGACGAGGAGGTCAATGAGTCTGTTTCCAAGCCCTCCTGTGTGTGGGGCCTCACGGTGAACAAGGCACTGTCGCCTCCTCCTCATTCTCCTCCTTCCTTCCTTCTCTCCTCCTGTCCTCTCTAAACTGTCGCTTCTCTGGTCTCGTCTCTTCTTCCCCTTCTTCCCTTGTTCTTTCCTCCTTTCTCATGTGTGCCTCATGGATGCCTCCTACCTCGCTGGGGGCTGCCAACGTCGCATTTGTCGCCACTTCCGTGAGCTCCTGGAAGGTTCAGCGGACTGCGGGGCTACAAGGCCCATCACGAGACCTCGCCTCCCTGGAGGTGGATGGCTTTCCCAACCCTCTTGTGCTGTTGGATCCTCGTTTTGAATCCGCAACGCCGCGCACCTCGTATTCTTGCTTCCGCTCCATCCGTCCTCCTCTCCTTGCCTCTGCTCTCCACATGTCCACCTGCGCACACCCTCGCGTGCTTCCTGCCCCCCCATATGGAGCTCCACCCACGGCCCCAACTCGCTGGCCCGACGGGACAGAGGCGTGCTAAAATCCCGAGTAACTGGTAAACAGCATTTCGTATTTCAAGTTCGCGCGCGCGAAGCGGCCCCGGGGGGTCCCCGGACGAAAAGTATCCCGGGAGAAGCCTGGCCAAGTTGATTCAGAGATGGCGTTCCTCCTGATTGCGGCCTTTCGGCCGCCCCGGAGCGCTCCAAGAGGACCCCAAGAGGCGCCCAGGACGGTCCAAGAGGGCTCTGAGTCGCCGGCCGATCCGTCCAATGGCCTCCAGGCGACCGAAGACGCCTCTAGGACGCCCCAGGAGGCTTCCAAGAGGCGTCCCAAGAAGGCCCCTAGGGGCAAACAGTCTAGATTTCTCCTAAATTTCTGACAGATTTTGGCGTTCTCGCCTTGTCGGCTTCCTGGCATTCCAAGACGGCCCGAGATCGCCTCAAGAGGCTTGAAACAGGGCCCCAAAACGGCCCAAGAGGGTCCCGCCCCAAGACGGCTCAAGGGGGCTCCAAGACGGCCCAAGAAGCCCCCAAGACGGCTCCAACAAGAGGTCTACACGGGGGACCCGAACGGATATTTCCAGCCGTCGGTCCCCCCTCAGGCCACAAGAGGCCCCCAAGAGGCCCCACGAG